TGGTATATTTCCTCATTATATCATGTATTGCCCCTCGTAAATGTGGTGTTTATGTTGCTTGTTTTGTTTGGTGAAATATTTTCACTTTCAGTTCCACTGCTACTATTAAGTCATTTCCATTTTTGGTCATGGACTTCCACTTTTTGTCCTTCATTCCACTTATCCGGCGTAGGTGACTGCAAATTACCAATACTAGCAAAAATCCATAGTTGTGCACCAAAAAGGGGAAAAAGTGAGATTAACCTAATAGATGTGGGACAAAAAGTGACTTTTATTTGGGTTAGACGTAAAAACACGTAATAGAGTGCTTGTTTATTGCAGGCTCTTGCCAAGGATCTACCGTGGAAGTTGAAAGAGTCGCGTGTTCTTGAGATTCTTCAAGCGGTAAAATTGTTTTTTTTTGTTCAAGGAAAGAACCTTAGTATTGAATTTTCACATAGTTTATTCACGAGATAATTATCCTAGGTATGACTAAAACTTTGTATAGTTTATTCACATAGTTTATTCACTTTCTCAATCTATGACCTAATTAGTTTTTTTTTACCAAAATAATACTCTGTATTAAAATTCATAATATTTAATTAAAATTTGTAATAAATAAGTAATTAAATAATTTAGGTGGACAAATATACCCTTTAAGTTATATCTATAAAACCCTAAGCTCTTAATCTTTTCTCCAACCCTGGCCTCCATTATCCCACCTCCATAGACCCACCTGCCTACCGCCGCAAGCCCCATGGCCCGCCATCTGCCGCCGCTCCATGGCCCACCGACCACCGTCCGCCACCGTCCAGGAGACACCATGTGCAAGATCCTCTATCTCATGCGCCGACTTGATAGCGCGCACCGCAACCCCTTCCATTCATGTAAAGCATGGAGACACCACTCACTTTGCCACCATTCACATAATGCTCGTACTCATCAAACCCACACGCTCCATATTCAATTTCCTTTCCAATCAATTGAACTATTAATGAACATCATTGTTGAACCATTACCTTAACCACCGAAGTGTTGCCAAACCCTGGCCTAGCAGGGAGGGGGGAGTGCTGCGCATGTGATGAGTTTAAGTGAATGGGTCTGTAGCAATTTGTTACGTGATGAGTGCGGTGCTGGGGTGCTATGTGAAGATGAGTTTGCTTTGGATCCGCTATTAGTTTAGGCCCTCCATTCTCTTATGCTTTTCTATTTTTGAACTTTGGAGTTTGTAAAATTGGGGTTTGTGGGCATTAAATAGGGGCAGTGAATATGAGCAGTTATCATCATAATCAGGGCCGGTCCTAGGGGGAGGGCAGCAAGGGCGACCGCCCTAGGCCCGAAAAAAAGCAGAAAGAAAATTAGGCCCAATTTTTTTTCTTTATATGTAACCTGAGCAGGCTTCTTTTTTTATTTATAATTTCAATTAATTAATTAGGTCTAATGTGTAATTTTTGTTGACAATTTGAGAATCTTAAAATATAAGTAAAAAGTCTTTAACAGAGCTAGACAAGTTTTTAGAAAGAATATAAATTTAGCTTTGATTTTTAAATAGACCTGGTTGTAAGTCAACACATTTGTTGTTGAATCAATAAAAGCATGTCTCTTCACATCTTTTTAGCTTTTAAGATTTTTTATTCTTTTAATTACAAAATTACCAATTTATATTATTGTCTTTGGGCTGTCAGTGCCTCCCAATACTCAAACATCATCCCGATTATCTATTATGCCTCTAAAAACTTAACGGATTAGCAATTTTAAACATTGCACATGTGATCTTGGAAAAGATTGATTATAAAACAATTATTGAGATTTTACTTCATAATGTTCTTTTGTAATACTTGTATTGTTACTTTTGTCCAAATATGCAATTCAAATAATATGAAGGTGAATTTCATCTTTATTTTATAACCTTTATTAGATAGTTGTAGGGAAAATTTTTGAAATAGGAGTAAATTTTTCTGAGAATTCCAAAATAGGACTGTCATGTGTTTATTTTCTGAATAAGAATAATTGCTGTCATGTTCGGAAAATACTACCACGTGTAAAATATGACACTGTATGACAGTAATCACTTCTATTTAGATAATAAAAATATGATAATCTTAGTTTGGAATATACAAACGTTTTTAGTCGTATTTAGAGTAATTTCTCCTAATTTTATTATACTCCATTATTTTACTTTAAGTAAGTATAATTTACTTTTTGTCTTGGAAATAAGGCCAGAATGGTATATCGCCCATAGGCCCAAAACTGGACAGGACCGGCCCTGATCATAATAGATATTGTCGAGTATGACAATATATATGTTGTACATGGCAGTGAATGAATGCATTAAGAAATTTTGTTGTGCAGTGATTATGACCAGTAGTGCAGTAACACAGAGCAGTGATTTCGCATTTTCGCCATGAAGTGCAATATACTTAATTAGACGCAAAATAATGAAATTATTAAATCTAAAAAAATTAAAACTATAAATATTAATTTTCTAAAGTGAATGAGAAGAGAATCAATTTTGGCGGAAGTGCAGTGATTGTTACCGGATGTGCAGTAATGTCGTGCAGTGAAGACAATATAAAGTGCAGTAATTATAATAGGAAAGAATTAGTGCAAAATGAACATATTTTAAATAAGGGTATTTTCGTCATTCAACATTTAAATATAAATGATTTTTTTTGGATTTTCGGTCATACAAATGTCTAAAATCTAAGTTAGTCATATTTAGGGAAACTCAATGAGTTTTAATCATATCCTAGGAAATTTCCCTTTATTCATGGTTTTCATCGTTTTCTTAATGACAGATAGACAGCAATACAGACGGGCTTGTGGATTTCCAGGAGTTTGTTGCAGCCACTTTACACATAAATCAGATAGAGGGGCATAACTCAGAAAAGTGGGAGCAAAGATCACTAGCCGCTTTTGAGAAATTTGATATTGATAAAGATGGATATATTACTCCAGATGAACTTAAATTGGTCAGTCTCTTCATTTCTTGTTTTCTCTCTAGGTTTTTGAGTTTTTAGCTAATATTTGTTCACAATGTCAAACACAATATCTAGATCTAGATATTGTGTTTAACATTGTTAATAAAATTAACTAAGAATCAATACAAAGGAAAAAGGACAGAAATTTCATTAATTATTTCTTAGGTGTCTATCTCTCACATCACTCACATGACACGGATGCACCGTGAACACTTGTATTAGAGGTGCTCTTAGTTGAAGTGTTTAACATATGCTTCGAATAGGGAAGATAAGTATACCCTCCTCTGTATACTTACTAGTTAGTTAGTAACTAAAAAAGTGATGGTGAATCCTAGCAGCATTTTGGGCTGAATCAATCATTACCTTAACAAATAGAAATAATGATGCCATTAAGGATATGTATGGATTCCACAAAACGTCAGGGGAATGAAAAATGCCATGTTTCCCCTCTATATTTTTTGGAAAATAAAAAGGGTGACAAACTATGTTTAGCTCTTTTCAAAATTTTACGTGGTATATTTAGATTTGTTAGTCTTCACGAGTTAATGCAATTGCAGTAGCTGTAAGTGAATAAAATGAGTATCAACAAATTTTTAAAATAAATATACCCCGTATTTATTTGTAGTGTTTCTTTAATCTTTCACACACATTTTCTTTCCATCAAAGTTCCTATACAGTTTACTTCCTATTTCCTTCCTCAAGTATTTTCCGGGCCCCAAACGGACCCTATGGGTATTTTTGCATCACAGAAAATGATTGGGAAAGAGGAAAACGCTAATGAAAGTTAACATATTGTGCTTGGTTTTACTATATCCCAAAGGAAAACAGAATATGCTTCGTTCTTGATATTTTTCAAATTTCTGGAATTAGTAGTCTATATTCTATATAACATAAATAAGTAAAATAAACTTAGTTTTAGAAAAATGCTGTAACATAAATTCATTGAATTTTAATCTTTGACTTATTCACCCTAATAAAAAACTCCTTTATGACCCCCCCCCCCCCCCCCCCCCGTTTTTTAGCTATTTTCATTCCCTAGCAATTTCCCAGTTCTAAAAGCACCCTGAGTGTTGTGAGTCCAGGGATCTTGAGATTAAGAGGTTCCCTGAGTGTTCCCCTGCTTGTTTATTGACTCATATGACCCATCACCACCCCATTGTGGTTTATGTACTTCTCATTGTATATAGATAAATCATTTTTATACAAGGAGAGTTGCTTATTTGTTGCAGCATACTGGATTAAGAGGCTCCATAGATCCACTCCTGGAGGAAGCAGACATAGACAAAGATGGGAGGATAAGCCTATTGGAATTCCGTAGGCTATTAAGAACTGCGAGTATGGGCTCCCGGAATGTCGCAAGCCCATCTTCAAGACAAGGCCCGAGACTCTAACTTGCATAGAAATGTACTACTATTCATTCAATCTGCATTTGCCATCAAATAGATAAAGAAAGAGGATCTGAGTTTGCTGTCCAAAAAAGGGAAACAAAACGAAAATCATGTTAAGGTGCTTTTGGCCTTCCATTGGAAATGTTGTGTATATGATGTAGTGGGAGATGTGGGCAATCGTCATCCCTTTTTTTTCTTGGTTCAACATCGTGTAACTTTCAATGTTGACTAATTAATAAAGCTGCTGCCTAATTAATCATCGAACTTAGGCATGGACCGGTTTCGGGCCGGGCCAGTCCAGTCCAAACCGGGCTTTTTATTGTTGGGTGAAGGCCCGGAACTGGCCCGGGATTCCACCGGGTCCGGGCCGGTTCTTATTTTTTTTTTTTTTTTGCTTTTCTAATTACCCCAAAACACCCAGCCCAACCCGCCTACAACAAAAAAAAATGAAAAAACAAAAAAAGGCCCGGACCGGCCGGTACCAAAGGAAGGGCAAGCCCGGAACCGCCCTGCCCTAACACCCCGGACCGGTCCTAGGCCCGGTTCCCGGGCCGGCACAGTGGCAGGCCGGGCCGGTTAGAGCGGAACCGGTCTATGCCTAATCGAACTACCACCCAAATGTGATATTTGACCCTAATTAAAATTCGAACTACCACCAAGTCAAACTGCATAAGTTCGTCAAATGCCCCAAAACTTAGCATACCTGTGCTATTATTCCATTCCTCCACAAAAATGACTCCCTTAATTCACAGTTTTCTTAGCTAATATAAGACCTTCACAAACATTTAACATACATGTAGGTAATCCGGTTGTACAACTTCTTTCTATCAATTCTGGGATTTTACCACTTCTACGGAGACTGTGACTGTGGGGGGGGGGGGGGGGGGGGGGAGTGGCCTCGGGTAAAACCTCCTCAAGTTTTGTAGTGTGCATACCCTGAAACAGATCTGCAATGATACACTTCCAACCTGCTCTTGGCTTCCTGCAACAATCTCTCCACCTTGTCATCTTGAACCAAGAGCCCCTGCTGCTTTGATGCCCATTCTAGAGCCGATAGAACTTCAGCCTTGGCGAGCTCTTCACTGTCAGGGACGTGCATGGCAATGTAACAAAGTAGATACAATGCAGGACCCCGAATCGTCTGTCCACCAAAATAAACGTGTTCAACCAAATGCTTCGCCCCACCTGAAGCTATGATAGCCTTGGAATGGTCCAAGTGAAGGTAGTTCTCCGTGCATGCAAACTTGGCAAGAGATATGGACGCCTCTTTCGAGACCACAGTTTCTTGGTCTTCAAGAAGCTTGACTAAAGGACAGATCATCCTCATCTCGGTTGACCTAAACGTCCTGGCGAGATTTCCGATTGTCTTAATGCACGGTATGAGGAGATTCGGGACAGGCTTCTCAATGATTCTGAGCAGCTGGTCCGCAACCGCCTTGCACGCCGGAGAGTTTGGCTTGAACGCCGACCTTCTCAGGTCGACGTCTTTCTCCGCCACAGCGGTGATCTCCATCACCGCCATCGCAGAGTTGTACTGGGCCTCTTCTGGCCCTTTCTCCAAGAGAGCCGCGAAACACAATAGAGCTCTAGACTCGGTTATGCTGTGGCAAATGGGAGAGTTGTCTTTGCAGAGGTACCACAATGCTCTTGCCGCCATGGCTTTCATGTAGGCCTTGGTAGATGGATCTTCAAGCTCTTTGGCATGATGATGGTGATGGTGACTGGAGTGGTTCTGCTTAGCTGGATTTATCATGGCCATTGTATTGTGAACGACGTTATGAATCTGGGCATGTTTCTTGTTGTTCTCCAAGGGGTGAGCAACTATGCTCTTCTGGTAATCGTCATCATCATCGTTTGCTACGCTGTTAGCGTTCAGAGAATTCTCATTGTTGGCTAGCACAAGGGCGTGGATGGAAGTCGCCTTGCAGGAAACAGCATACTTGCTGTGTTCCAAGATTGTTTCAAAGGCGAGATGGCCTACCAGTAAGCGGATGATGTTGTTCTGGGCGAAGAGATCTTGGCATGTGGGGAAATGGGAAGCCAGCTCTGAGATCGCCCATGCTACCACGGCTTGTACCTTCATGGGACCTTGTTTGAGCATTTTACCAAACACTTGGCATACGCCGGCGTGCACCATGTGTTCCACGCTTGCCGGATCCCGGCCCAGCAGCCCGATCGCTCTGGCGGCGTTCTCTTGGCCTTCTACTTTGCCATCCTTGAGGAGCTTTAGCAGCGGCCCCACTCCGCCTTCCTCCATTATCAGCGTCCCGTAACGGTCGTTGTCCCGGGCGAGGGACACAAGCGACGCCGCTGCGTCGGACTTGTCGTCGGGAGAGCCTGTGTGGAGAATAGCGATCTGTTCCCAGATGAGGCAGAGGATGGGCTCGTTGGAGGCGATGGGAGGGAGGCCGAGGTGTTCTCCGACGCGTCCGTCGGCGGAGGCGGAGACTCGGAGGAGCCAGGACATGTCGCCGATGGAGTTATCGAGTTGGGATTGCATCTTGCGGAAGGAGGCGGCGGGGATGATGGTGAAGACGCGCTTGATGAGGCCATGGGCGCGACACTTGAGGACAAGGTTTAAAGCCTTTTCCAGAACCTGGCCGGTGTCGTCGATGATCCGCCGCGTCGGCCGCTCGTAGAGATCGCTGCTGGTACGCGCGGCTTGGCGGAGAAGCTCGGCGAGCTTCTCCGTCCTGGACTTCAATTCTGCGCACTCTTGCTTGAAGGAACTGGCCTCGTCTGCAGCTTTGCTGACGTTGTCAGCCAACTGGATCGGCTTTGTAAGAATGTGCTTCACTTTGTCCGCCATTATTACCAGTCACAAAACAAAACCCCCAAAATTCAATCTTTGCGGCATCCCCAAAAAGGGAAAGCAGAATCTGGTGGGGTTTAACAAAGGAAATGAGTTGGATTATACGCACTCTGATGACTTACTTAGGGGAAAACTTAATTTAATATTATAATAATAACAATAATGGATGCTTATTACTGCTGAGGTTGACATGAAAGAGACGATGGGCATGATTTTGGTCCATGGGTTTTCGTGGTGACGTTTATGGCGGGCGGCATTTTCACGGGCGTCTCTTTCAATCTCCTGTTCGCCTTTCTCCAAGTCTACGCATTCGTCCCACCACTTTTTAATGCTCTTGTTTCCCTTATTTACTCTGCTCTTCCCATTAAATCTTCACATCTAATCAAATCAATATTACATTAGCTGTTTTAACTGTTCCTTACTTTTGCGCCGGCCCTTACTTATCCTATCACTGCTAAGAGGAGTAGAGGAATAGAGCATCCCTCCAGCCCGGGCCCTTGTCCTTGTACGCTTAGGGAATGTTTGCAACGATTTAAAAAAACTTTTTCCCAACTTTTGGCTTAAAAAAAACACTACTCCCTCCGTTCTTTTTTATTAGTCTCCTTAGGCTTTGGCACGGGTTTTAAGAGTAAAGTAGTAGGGACAGTGTAAAAAGGTGTAATGAGTAGTGGGTAAATGAAAAAGTAGAAAAGGGAAAGGGGTAATGGTAATAAAAGTGAGGGTATAAAGGTATATTTAAAGTAAAAACTTTCCTTAAATGGAAAGGAGGACAGATAAAAAAAACATCCCAAAAAGGAAAGAAGGACTAATAATAAAGAACGGAGGGAGTATCATTTTTTACTTTTTTTCCGGATTGCGTGTGAAAAGTGTTTTTCCTTTTTCTATTACATAAAAAGCACTTATTTTACCAAACACTACCGACTTTTACTTTTCAAAATCACTTTTTTCTCAAACACTATCAAATTTTACTATTAATCACTTTTTTCTTACATCTCCAAAAGTGTTTTTTTTAGCAGAAGTAGTTGCAAACACTCCCTTAGGGGGTGTTTGAAACTCATTTTGCTTCTGCTTCTTTTTAAAGCAGAAGCAGAATCAGAATCAGTTTTCAGAAGCTCGTACCTATCAGCTTCTAAAAAAAGTGATTCTGGGAGTAAATTAGAGCACCAGAAGTGCTTCTGGAAATCCACTCAAACAGTCCAGCTTCTGCTTCTGCTCCCTGAAGGAGCAGAATCAGTTTTGAGAATCAGATCCAAACACCCCTTAATAGCCTTCCACAAATTACTTTCAAATAAAATTATTGAGTTTGACTTAAATTGGAGTTTAATAAAGTGAGAACAAAGTGAAAATATATTATTGTGATTGAATAAGAAAAAAATAAATGAATAATAGCTACACAAAGTTTTCAAAAAAAATTGGAAGATTTTTTGTAACATCTTAAAATGTTAAGTGAGAAGAATTCTATGAGACTGAGAGAAGACCGATTATCATGAAAAAGTATTTCACATGAATATTTAATACGACTTAAATATCCGTGACCCTCTACAATAAAGACTACGACTAATTTTCTATGATATAGGTTATGACTATATTCTCCTCACACTCATAAAGCATCTAATAGACTAATATTGATCTTCATTTTTTTCAATCAATTTAGATTCTCAACATCTCATTTGTTAAATTCCCAATACCCATCTATACGCTATCACCATAGCGTATGAAAAACCGCTCTTATTTGATTGACCTAAAATTCTTCAAGCTCCCAGTGCAGATGAAGACGAAACATTGATTGCGCATCTGCTCAAGCTAGCTCAAAGCTAGAGAATCATCATTTCAAAAAAAAAAATCTTTCAGGTTCACCTCTTTGGTGATTTGAACTTAAAAACTCTCACACAAAGAGGATGTTAAGTATGATATTGATCCACTTGGATCACTTCCACTGCACGCACATAATATTCCATATGACAACATCTCACATAGATGATGCATCTCCCTCTTGAACTACCAATGGGGTGGAAAGTGGGAATAAAACTTTGTAAAAGTCTAAAAATACTTGGTGTACACCTTTTTATGTAGACTTTGTCTCTCTACTTAGACAAAGTTGTCTAAATACAGAATTAAAGACAATTCATACTGAAATACATAAGTTGTTTGCATACAGAAACTTTGTATGTGTAGACAAACATGATGTGCCAAAAGCGTACTCGTAAAGGTGTACATCAATTATTTTTTCAGAAAAGTCATGGTTCCTATGACATTTAACATGTGTAGATAATTGAATCAATTCATTAAAAAAATTAAGTCTACGCTACTTCTTTTGTAGTTGTTGTTTTTCTTTGTTGCTTCAAATCTTATTGTGATATTGCATTTATTTCATTTTTTTTGCAAGATGCATTTATTTCAATTAGAGTCGAGAGTTGGTGCATTTTAGTGAGAAGTATGGTGCATGTGTTATCAAGGTAAGCTTTATTTCAGATAAGAAACGATAAAATCCAAAAAAGCGGTCAAGTCGGGTACTATGAGTCAGGTCTGTCTTAGAGCCATATCTTGGTTTATCATGTTGACCCGACCCATATTTATCAGGATCGTCACAAATAGAGGTGATTGGTTCACCAAGGAAGAGGTGAGTGCTAGAGGTGCGACCGTGCGAGAATATGGAAGCTTTACCAGATAAACAACATGAAGATGGTTCGAGATGATTTTATTTCGTGTCTTTCATTTTTAAGTTTTTATTTTTTGTTGTTTTTTTTTTGTTCGGTATTTTCTTTGCGTGCTTTATATGGATTATGTCGAAGGGTAATGCATAGGTACGTAAAGGTATTAGCCCGATGCCAAGACAGACCATCTCAAGTCTGGCCCATTTTCCCCTTACTGTATTCGTCCCACTTACTTTGCTTGTTATCTAGAACCCTCTACATATTAGGGTTCTAACATAACCCTTGGCCCCTTGTATAATTTATGGTTCTCCTCTCTCGATTAGAGACTTTTGTCTGTGTGACCCTTAGAGAGAGAGAGATTTAGAAGAGAGAGAATTGAGGTATTGGCCGCCGTCCAGTGTGTCAAAGGTTTTAAAGTGGTGATAAATAGAGGGAAAAATTGATAGTAATAATCCCAACTATTGGCGGTCCGCTCATAATAATCCCAACTATTGATTATTACAGAATAATCCCAACTTTAGGGACCTTCCGCCAATAATGGTCCCGATGAATAAATTCTTGTAGTTTCTAAAGTGGATGGGGTGAGATATAACAAGTAATCCTTATAAATAATCTCAACTTTTAATTTTTACGCTTAATTTCTATTTAAAATTCACTTCTTATAGAGGTAATTTATGGTCATGGACCATTATTGGCGGATAGTCTATATAGTTGGGATTATACAAAAATAATCAATAGTTGGGATTATTTTCAGCGGACCGGTAATAGTTGGGATTATTATTTTCAATTTTTCCTAAATAGAGACGTTTTAATTGAATTTGAAGTTCCTTTCTTGTCTAATTTAGGATTTACCTAACTCTGCCCCTCTTGCTTCTATGACTCCTTTGGAGTTGCATGGAGTCCCATCCCATCATTTCAATTTATGTTCATGTTGACTTAGGTGAGTTTTATCGCACTTGAAAATGTAGTGATTGTGGTGAAAGTACGAGTATCGTCTTCACAGGGACGGACAAAAGGGAAATAACAATTAACTAAATTCTACGATAAAAATAAAAAAATAAATGCAATGATGCGAGATTTGACTGATTGGAAAATTAAATTACAGGCAAACGAATAAAATGATGAAAGACTTCACATTTGGTGTGCATGGGAAAGAGCCAAGTATAGCGAGAAAAATCATCAATAAAATACACATAATATTTAAAGCCCAAATTAGATAAAATGGGAGATTGACAAACATCAGAATGAATTAATTGCAAAGGCAAAGTAGAATTATGACTAGCATCCGTAAATGGTAAGCGTTGAGATTTGCCTAAACGACAAGAAATACAATCATGAGAGAAACTAGAGCTACTACAAATGTGTCTCTGGTTATGTAAACTACGTAAAATAAAAGTCTCATAATGGCCTAATCTACGATGCCACACAGGGCCAGACGAGGTGAGAGAAGATAACGCTAGTACGATAGAGATGACCATGACTAGGTGCTTGAAGAAGGGCCTTCTCCGAAATTTTGTCCTTAACAAAAAAAAGAATTTTTATAAAAAATTACAACTCAGTTGTTATCAGGACAAAGTTTTTGAGTAGATAATAAATTAAATTTGATATGAGGCACATGAAAGACAGATTTCAACGTGAGAGGACGACTAGAAGAATTTAAATGCACATCCCCAATATTAACAATAGGAAGTTTAGAGCCATTAGCTACACTAACAGAAAGTGGTCTAGTATAAGGTAATTTATTACCTAAAATACCTTCCGAAGGAGTCATGTGAGCCGAAGTCCCAGAGTCACGATACCATAGAGCATCATTTGATTCACCATTGTTGGAAGTCAGATGGGCTGGAGCAGACAGCTGACTAAAGCGAGAGGGACACTGAAGAGCAGAGTGACCTGCAGAGAAACAAATTTGACAGGCAACAGGTGGTGGAACAAAACCCAGAATTCCCTCACCCGATGAAAAACCTGCAGTGCTAGCGTATGTATCATAAATAAAATAGGGATTAAAATTTAAAGTTGACAAAACCGAATTACATGCAGAACCTGAAGTGTGTGGACGAGGAGAAACCACCCCCTGAGGCGAAGCCTGCTGCCCCTGCTGACGAAACCATACCCCGGTTGGCTTGGCCTGGCTCCCTGCAGCCCCTGCTGGCCGCCAAAGTGCTGGTGTGCCCCGCCCGGTTGCTGTGGACCGAAATAAGGTACACTGGGGGTGCGGCTGTGCACCATACTACTGTGGCGGTCCCCTTCCGCGGCTTGTCCTGCCACGACCACCTCGTCCGTGGCCTCCCCTGCCGCGATTAGGATATCCGGTCGGTTGCTGCTCACTGGCGGCAGCAACCACACACGCCTGATGTCCGGCCGCAATATGCTGGTGATGCTCAGAAAGTACGTGTTCTTTTTCTTCCAGGAGACGGGGTTACAATATATCAAAAGGAAAATTCTCGGGAAATAAAGAGACAGTGGTGACAAGGGATCGATGTTGTCACGCCCCGGACCGCATCCGTGCCACGTAGACAACCGCCGTACAACCCAATAAGAACAACGTAGTTCATTCTTATCAAATCATACAAGGCGTCCGATAGATTCTATTGCCAAACCGATTAGTAAACCCATACAATCAACATCAATATATAAATCAAACAAATGCGGAAATAAAATATGTTTGACATTTAGCCACACGTGGCAAACATGAGCACGCAGGCCCTTCAATAGTTTAATAAAAACATCGTTCAAATATCCATGAGCAATTTCATAATTTCAAATAAGAATGGAAGCACGAACCACGTCTTCCTTATTTGAGTTCACCCTGGGCAAAGGTGCAGGTAGCAGGACTCTAGCCTCAACCTGAAAAATGTGAGGGCCCCCGAAGGGGTCAGTACTCCATAGAAGTACTAGTGACAAGTAGGCTATATGAGGAATAACTAATGTCTCAGACACGAGACCCAAAAATAGGATGATACATATATTTAGAGGTGTAACCATTGTCACCCCATTCCCAAGATAATACATAGTGTATATACTTGTAAAATACTTGACCCGTAGGTCATTTTCTCACAAAAGAGTCTTTTAGAGACAAGGTACTCACTCAACCTTTCCCCTTTCATTCCTGAATGCCTAGCTTAAGAGCTACATTCTACCTTCATAATATCCTACCGAGTTTCAGGAGTGTTAACCCTCCCGGGGATACTCAACCCCAACCGAGTTTTGGGATCATTTACCGTCCCGAGGATGCTCAACCTCAACCGAGTTTTAGGATCATTTACCGTCCCGAGGATGCTCAACCTCAACCGAGTTTTAGGATCATTTACCGTCCCGAGGATGCTCAACCTCAACCGAGTTTTAGGATCATTTACCGTCCCGAGGATGCTCAACCTCAACCGACTTTTAGGATCATTTACCGTCCCGAGGATACTCAACCTCAACCTTATTTCTAACCAAACCCTAACCTGGATATGGCTAACCTTGCATTCACTTAACTATGGCAATACCTAGTCCTATAGTCATATAAAAATCCTTAGTAACCAACGTGGACGGGTCCCACCTGATCGATCCACGTTAACCCACTCAAAAACTACCCGTTTTGAGTATAACCCAATACTCGATCGAGTATCCATCAATACTCGGTCGAGTACAGGAGGCAGGAGCCCATAAGGCTAATTTTCAAGGCATACTCGATCGAGTATCTATCCATACTCGATCGGGTATAGGAGACAGCGGCCCTTGGGGCCAATTTTTCAGCAGACACCCGGTCGGGTATTGTAGTTGACTTGGCGGTCAACGCCCGTTTGACCGCCCAAACGGAGTCCGATTAACGTGAAATTTTACATGCATAATCTACTTGAAGTCCTTGATCCAAAAATACCATTTTTGACCCCTGTATCATTGTACATAATAAGTTATCACATTTTTAATCACCAAACATACAAAACATGCTTTTCAACTTTTTTTTATATATAATCATGGCATAAGCCAATAATTGATTAACTTTAATCATTCCGTAAAACATATACTTGATTACTCTAGGTAATCTCATGCCTCAATCAAAAGTTATAAAGCATATAGCCGTCTTCTCACCTTATTGAAGCCTATGAAGTTCTAGCCTTTCCGATTTAGCCCCGGTGAAACTCCGGTGAACTTCAACGAACTCCGGCGACAACTCCGGCGCCCCTTTCAACTCCGTGAAAGTTCTTGAAATACCTTATACAAGTTAATAACAAGGTTTTATCATCATAAAACCCATATCACCACAAATAACCTCTAAAAGGTTATTTTCCGACGAACCCGTCAACTTTGCTCTCAAAGTTCGTTTTGGGTATAAACCAACTCCCCAACTCCCATTCTACACTTTTACATGTGTAGAACTATCCTAGGAGTATGAAACATGATTAAAGAGAAGAAATGGGATTAATGAAGTGATTACCTTGTTAACTACAAGTTTTCCCACCTAAAGCTCCCCTTTTCTATTCTCTTTTCTCCTTCTTCTTCTTCCTTAGCTTGGTGCGTGTAAGGATGATGAAATGGAGTCTTTTGCAGACCTTCTCTTCTCAATGAATCTAGTTTGGACGAGAGACAAAGGCTGGGGTGGTTGTGAATAGCCTTTTTGGCTTATTCACCAATAATATGGGGGTGGGGGACCCCTTTTCCTATCAACTTGGTCTCAAACCACTTCCTCCCTCTTTCCATATGATATGGTGCGTCTCCCTTTGACAATTTGCAGAACAAGGACGTGGGGTGGCCCCCACTCATGTGGGAGGTCATCCCTTTGTGACCCGAGATGTATAATCGGCCCCGAAAGTTGTATTTTTCCGGACTGTTTTAACTATATTTCACTTTATTGGGTTAAATGAAATATCTATCATTCTTCCAATCATCATTGGCTTTTAGAATGAATATATATATATTCCCCAACTTTTAATTTAGCGGTCTCCATAATTTATTATGGCTTTTTATCTGATATTACCTCGGTACCGATAAATGGGCTTTATATGCCCAAAAGGTTACTCACATAACTTCTATGGCCCAACCAGGCTATCCACCATTATACACATATTATCTTGACCCAAATGAATATAATATGTGGTCCCGATAATATCAGGCGGCCCCCACCTCCGGTGTGGGCCCCACGTGAATTTTATTATTCGCGTAAAAGAAATAATAAAAATTCACAATCACGTAAAATGCGTTTATTCATTTCTCGGGTTCAATACATAATTTGATAAAGTACAAATACTTGGGGGCGGTGTTACAAGTTCTACCCCCCTTATTTGGGATTTCGTCCCCGAAATCCACGTGTCTAGTCAAACAGAAATGGATACTGTTCCCTCATCAGGGTCTCCACTTCCCAAGTTTGCTCCTCAACACGATCACTCTTCCAAAGTACCTTCACCATCGGTACCTCTTTACTCCTTAGCTTCTTTACCTGTCGGTCCATGATCTTTACCGGCTGCACCGCATAGTGAAGGCATTCCCGGATTTCCACCGGTGGTTTCTCAAGAATATGTGACGGGTCCCGTACATACTTCTTGAGCATAGAAACATGAAATACATTATGAATCTTTTCTAATTCTGGAGTTAACTGAAGCCGGTATGCTACAACCCCGATCCTTTCAATGATTTTGAATGGGCCTATGTAGCGTGGGTTAAGCTTACCCCGACTGAGGAACCTGATGATCCCTTTCCAAGGTGACACCCTCAGAAATACCTCATCGCCGACCTCGAACTCTAACGTCCTCCGACGTTTATCTGCATAACTCTTCTGCCGATCTTGGGCAGCCTTGAGCCTATCCTGGATAACCCTCACCTTCTCCTTGGTGATTTCGACTAGCTCGATGCCCTCAAGCTTAGCCTCGCCTACCTCATCCCAACACAAAGGTGTCCGACATTTCCTCCCATACAATGCCTCGTATGGAGGCATGCCTATACTTGCTTGATAACTGTTGTTATAAGCAAACTCCACCAAGGCCAACTGGTTGTCCCAACTTCCTTGGAACTCCAAGGCACATGCCCTCAACATGTCCTCCAAAATCTGAATCACCCGTTCAGATTGCCCATCTGTTTGAGGATGGAATGCCGTGCTAAACCTCAACTTTGTTCCCATGGATTCCTGGAACTTAGGCCAAAACCGTGATGTGAACCGTGGGTCTCTATCCGATACTATCGTAACTGGAACCCCATGCAGTCTCACAATCTCATCTGTGTACAATTTGGCCAGTCGTTCAAGCGTATAAGTAGTGTTGATAGGAAGGAAATGAGCACTCTTGGTTAACCTATCAACCACCACCCACACTGCATCATCGTTCCTAACCGTGCGTGGTAGACCTACCACGAAGTCCATAGTAACATGCTCCCACTTCCATTCTGGGATGGTAAGTGGCTGTAATAACCCCGCTGGGTGCTGGTGCTCTGCCTTAACCTGCTGACAGGTAAGGCAACGACTCACATATTCTGCAATCTCTCTCTTCATCCCTGACCACCAGTAACTTTCCTTCAAGTCCCGGTACATCTTTGTTCCACCCGGGTGCATGGCATACGCAGATGAGTGAGCCTCCTCAAGAATAGATTTTCGGAGCTCCTCGTCTGAAGGCACACACACTCGCTCCCTGAATAGTAGGAGTCCATCTTCCCTCTCACGGAAACCCTCGACAGGTCCCACCAGCATCCGTTCCCGGATTTTCTGAATTTCCTCGTCATTGCCTTGACGCGTCCTGATTTCGTCTAATAAGGTGGGTCTCACCTCAAATCTGGCCAATAGAGCCCCATTCGTGGATACCTCCACGCGTGCCCTCAATGCTTGCAAGCATGAGAGTAAAACCCCCGATGAGCTCTTCCTACTAAGAGCATCGGCTACCACGTTAGCCTTCCCTGGATGATACTCAATAATCAAGTTGTAATCCTTGATCAGCTCCATCCATCTTCTCTGCCTCATATTCAACTCTTTCTGAGTGAACACGTACTTCAAACTTTTGTGATCAGTATAAATGTGACACACCTCACCGTAGAGGTAATGCCTCCAAATCTTCAAAGCAAACACCACAGCCCCCAGCTCCAGATCATGCGTGGGGTAATTTACTTCATGCTTCCTCAACTGTCGAGAAGCATAAGCAATTACCTTCCCTGATTGCATCAGTACGCATCCAAGCCCCTGGATACTAGCATCACTGTAGATGTCATACCTTAACCCTTGTACGGGTAGGGCAAGCACTGGTGCTTCAGTCAAACGTTTCTTTAGCTCAAGAAACCCCTTCTCGCACTTGTCATCCCACACAAACTTAGCCCCCTTTTTAGTGAGCTTCGTGAGTGGAGATGCTATCACCGAGAACTTCTCCACGAATTTGCGGTAATACCCCGCTAAACCGAGGAAACTCCGTATTTCCTTCACATTCTTGGGCCTCTCCCAATTAGTGACTGCTTCAATCTTCGAGTTATCAACTGAAATGCCCGAGCCTGATACCACATGCCCGAGAAAACCGATCTCCCCAAGCCAAAATTCACATTTAGAGAATTTGGCAAAGAGTTGCTTCTCCCGTAGTGTTTCAAGCACGAGTCTTAGATGTTTCTCGTGTTCCTCTTCATTCTTGGAGTATATCAAAATATCATCAATGAACACTATGACAAATTGGTCCAAGTATTGATGAAATACTCGGTTCATGAGGTCCATGAATGCCGCGGGGGCATTTGTAAGCCCAAACGACATCACTAGGAACTCATAGTGACCATACCTTGTACGGAATGCACTTTTGGGTATGTCACTCTCCTTGATCTTTAGTTGATGGTAGCCCGACCTCAAGTCGATCTTGGAGAACACGGTTGCCCCCCGTAATTGATCAAACAAGTCGTCAATCCTTGGCAAAGGATATTTGTTCTTTATTGTGACCTTGTTCAATTGACGGTAGTCGATACACATTCTCATTGTACCATCCTTCTTCTTTACAAAGAGTACGGGTGCTCCCCATGGTGAATGACTCGGTCTAATGAATCCATTATCTAGTAGCTCTTCCAATTGAACTTTCAATTCTTGAAGTTCAGCCGGTGCCATTCGATACGGAGGAATTGAGATGGGCTTGGTGCCTGGTTCAACCTCAATCTCAAACTCGATCTCCCGATCTGGTGGGAGTCCCGGGAGTTCTTCAGGGAAAACTTCTGGATACTCCCTCACCACCCTCACCTCCGTGAAGCTCTTTCCTTTGCCCTCCTTGCCTAGGACATAGGCTAAGTATGCTTGATAACCTTTCTTCATCAACCGCCTCGCCCTTAAGGCCGATATGATACAGGGATTGAATTTTCCTCTATCTCCCTCGAAGCATAGAGTATTTCCCTCTTCGTCTTCTAATTCTAACACCTTGGTGTAGCAATCTACCTTTGCATGGTGTTTCTCAAGCCAGTCCATGCCGAGTATGGCATCGAACTCAAGCATATCTAACGGTACAAGGTCGCCCATTAGACGGTGCTCCCCTATCTCCACATTACATGAAGGATAGTAGTGCTTCCTCTCTACATCATCTCCCAACGGTGTAGAGACCCACAAAGGTTGCGCCATTGCTACTAACGGCATGCCCAATCCCTTGGCAAACGCTTCGCTCATAAATGAACGTTGCGCCCCGGTGTCGATGAGAATTCTCGCGTGTTTACCATTGATCTTTAGTGTCCCTACATATACAAGCCATGTAAGACACTCGACATAACGTCCCGACTGAAAAGGACTTAGCGAAACAATTCCCGGCTTAGGACTATACTATACTCGGTCGGGTAGGACCCTATACCCGGTCGGGTACAGCTCGAGTCCTTAAGAAAAAACTCCCTGTTATCCTTGCCCGGTCGAGTACACACCCTGAACCCGAACAAACTATCTATACCCGGTCGGGTATATGCCCATACCCGGTCGGGTATCACTCAAAGTGTTAAATAAAAACTTTCTGCCTACGCCGTTCGATCGAGTACACGCCTCAAAAACAAAAATTTACTAATACTCGATCGAGTATATAACCATACCCGGTCGAGTATGGCTGGATTTGCCAAAATCGGAGGGTTCTGCTAAACTTGCTCGAACGAGTACCCACCTCAAAACCGAGCAATTTGCTCATACCCGGTCGGGTATATATGGATACCCGATCGGGTATCACATGTTTCCTGCAGATTTTAACTTTAAAACAGATGAAAAACTGCATGTGGAATCAAGGGGTTACCTGCAATAGAGTCCGGGTTAGCCCGAGCATCGGCCTCGGTCATTGCATACACCCGTGCTTGGGTCCTCCCTTGGTTAACGGACGCGGCGTTACTGGCCGTGGGTCCGCCCCTTCCCGTGCCGCCTTGAGATGGTCCCGCACGACCCCTACCAGACGCAGGTGCCTCAACAGCTCCCGATGGCCCACCTCCACTCAACATTGGGCAAGATAGTTTGAGGTGGCTTGTGCTACCACACTTGTAGCACCGGGGTGGTTCATTGCACTTCCCGGAGTGATTCCTGTTACAGTTCGGACACCTTGGTGGCCTCACGCTCCCCGAGCTATGCCCTTGCCCTCCTGGGCCCTTACTCTTCTTTGCCGGTGGTTCCGGCGCCCTGAATGATCTTCCATTCCCGGCGTGATGTTTCCGAGAATGGTCTTGGGGTCCAGAATTTCCCCATCTTCTTTTCTTCGCCTCTTCGGCGTCTCTCTTCTTCCTTTCATTCCACTTGGCTTCCCCAAGTAGCCCTTGATCCACAATCTCACTAAAAGTCATGTGATGATTGTAGGTGGCCCTATCACGGATATCCAACTGTAGGGTATCCCAGAAGTGATTAGCCATGCGGTTCTCATCCATGGCGTACTCAGGTATGTATCGTGCCAAGTCCCGGAACCTTTGTTCCAGTTGCCTCACCGAGCAATCCTCCTCCTGTACCAGGGTCATGTACTCCTTCCTCTTCTGGTTCTTTTCGAACTCTGAGTAGTACTGATTATAGAATTCTACCTCAAATTTCTCCCAGGTGGTCTCACCGTGGAACTTTCCTTCCACGCCTTCCCACCATACCGCAGCTACTCCCTCCAGTAACCTGGTAGCAACTGTCAGCTTTATATCAAGCCCGATCTTCATATCCCTAGCAGCCTCATTTAGCTTCTTTATCCAATCGACAGCCACCGATATATCACCCTTGCCGTCAAATGACTTGCACCCCAAGGCCCTAGCCTCCTTGAGGTATTTGGAGATTCTTACACAAAAACCTCCTCCATGCATTTCCTGTGACGCCACAGGTGTAGCCACTGATGCTCCCCGGCTTCCGTGACCTGAAGCCCCCTGAGAGGCACGCCTAGCTTGGCGCCTAAGATCTCTCCTCAACTTCTCCTTTTGATACCACTCAAACAGTTCACCCATCTGGGCGAATTTGGCATCACTCTCATCGTTGTCATCATCAGTATACGTATCACCCCCATCATATGGGGTCTCCTCATGTTCCGTCTCGGGAACATAGGTAGAGTCATAATCCTCGGTGTGAGTTCCATGCACCGAGCTAACATGGCCATCGCTCACGGTTTGAGCCCGACGGCCTCCCCGGCCTCCACGGCCTCCACGGCCTCTCCTACCGCCTCTCGCGCCCCGAGATGCAACCTGGCTAGCCCCTTCGGACGTCACCGGAGTTTGCCCTCTCGGGTTGTTCCTCGTAGCCATGCCTCTACCCTCCATTTCTGAAAGAAATTTGGAATGAGCCGTTAGACTCGTATCAATGTCAATTGACGGAATAGTACAAAAGACACCACTTGGTCCAACATTATGGCCAACAAACTGTTAAGGGTACCGTCTTAACAATAAGAGGTCAATAACTTGGTTTCCAACGGTTCCTTAAGTACAAAAACTTTTGCTCATGGTTTTGCTCAAAACATTTTTGATGATGCTATATTGAGAGGTTAATTATATAGTTTAGAAACCGATGGCTCTGATACCACTTAATTGTCACGCCCCAGACCGCATCCGTGCCACGTAGACAACCGCCGTACAACCCAATAAGAACAACGTAGTTCATTCTTATCAAATCATACAAGGCGTCCGATAGATTCTATTGCCAAACCGATTAGTAAACCCATACAATCAACATCAATATATAAATCAAACAAATGCGGAAATAAAATATGTTTGACATTTAGCCACACGTGGCAAACATGAGCACGCAGGCCCTTCAATAGTTTAATAAAAACATCGTTCAAATATCCATGAGCAATTTCATAATTTCAAATAAGAATGGAAGCACGAACCACGTCTTCCTTATTTGAGTTCACCCTGGGCAAAGGTGCAGGTAGCAGGACTCTAGCCTCAACCTGAAAAATGTGAGGGCCCCCGAAGGGGTCAGTACTCCATAGAAGTACTAGTGACAAGCAGGCTATATGAGGAATAACTAATGTCTCAGACACGAGACCCAAAAATAGGATGATACATATATTTAGAGGTGTAACCATTGTCACCCCATTCCCAAGATAATACATAGTGTATATACTTGTAAAATACTTGACCCGTAGGTCATTTTCTCACAAAAGAGTCTTTTAGAGACAAGGTACTCACTCAACCTTTCCCCTTTCATTCCTGAATGCCTAGCTTAAGAGCTACATTCTACCTTCATAATATCCTACCGAGTTTCAGGAGTGTTAACCCTCCCGGGGATACTCAACCCCAACCGAGTTTTGGGATCATTTACCGTCCCGAGGATGCTCAACCTCAACCGAGTTTTAGGATCATTTACCGTCCCGAGGATGCTCAACCTCAACCGAGTTTTAGGATCATTTACCGTCCCGAGGATGCTCAACCTCAACCGAGTTTTAGGATCATTTACCGTCCCGAGGATGCTCAACCTCAACCGAGTTTTAGGATCATTTACCGTCCCGAGGATACTCAACCTCAACCTTATTTCTAACCAAACCCTAACCTGGATATGGCTAACCTTGCATTCACTTAACTATGGACAATACCTAGTCCTATAGTCATATAAAAATCCTTAGTAACCAACGTGGACGGGTCCCACCTGATCGATCCACGTTAACCCACTCAAAAACTACCCGTTTTGAGTATAACCCAATACTCGATCGAGTATCCATCAATACTCGGTCGAGTACAGGAGGCAGGAGCCCATAAGGCTAATTTTCAAGGCATACTCGATCGAGTATCTATCCATACTCGATCGGGTATAGGAGACAGCGGCCCTTGGGGCCAATTTTTCAGCAGACACCCGGTCGGGTATTGTAGTTGACTTGGCGGTCAACGCCCGTTTGACCGCCCAAACGGAGTCCGATTAACGTGAAATTTTACATGCATAATCTACTTGAAGTCCTTGATCCAAAAATACCATTTTTGACCCCTGGATCATTGTACATAATAAGTTATCACATTTTTAATCACCAAACATACAAAACATGCTTTTCAACTTTGTTTTATATATAATCATGGCATAAGCCAATAATTGATTAACTTTAATCATTCCGTAAAACATATACTTGATTACTCTAGGTAATCTCATGCCTCAATCAAAAGTTATAAAGCATATAGCCGTCTTCTCACCTTATTGAAGCCTATGAAGTTCTAGCCTTTCCGATTTAGCCCCGGTGAAACTCCGGTGAACTTCAACGAACTCCAGCGACAACTCCGGCGCCCCTTTCAACTCCGTGAAAGTTCTTGAAATACCTTATACAAGTTAATAACAAGGTTTTATCATCATAAAACCCATATCACCACAAATAACCTCTAAAAGGTTATTTTCCGACGAACCCGTCAACTTTGGTCTCAAAGTTCGTTTTGGGTATAAACCAACTCCCCAACTCCCATTCTACACTTTTACATGTGTAGAACTATCCTAGGAGTATGAAACATGATTAAAGAGAAGAAATGAGATTAATGAAGTGATTACCTTGTTAACTACAAGTTTTCCCACCTAAAGCTCCCCTTTTCTCTTCTCTTTTCTCCTTCTTCTTCTTCCTTAGCTTGGTGCGTGTAAGGATGATGAAATGGAGTCTTTTGCAGACCTTCTCTTCTCAATGAATCTAGTTTGGACGAGAGACAAAGGCTGGGGTGGTTGTGAATAGCCTTTTTGGCTTATTCACCAATAATATGGGGGAGGGGGACCCCTTTTCCTATCAACTTGGTCTCAAACCACTTCCTCCCTCTTTCCATATGATATGGTGCGGCTCCCTTTGACAATTTGCAGACCAAGGACGTGGGGTGGCCCCCACTCATGTGGGAGGTCATCCCTTTGTGACCCGAGATGTATAATCGGCCCCGAAAGTTGTATTTTTCCGGACTGTTTTAACTATATTTCACTTTATTGGGTTAAATGAAATATCTATCATTCTTCCAATCATCATTGGCTTTTAGAATGAATATATATATATTCCCCAACTTTTAATTTAGCGGTCTCCATAATTTATTATGGCTTTTTATCTGATATTACCTCGGTACCGATAAATGGGCTTTATATGCCCAAAAGGTTACTCACATAACTTCTATGACCCAACCAGGCTATCCACCATTATACACATATTATCTTGACCCAAATGAATATAATATGTGGTCCCGATAATATCAGGCGGCCCCCACCTCCGGTGTGGGCCCCACGTGAATTTTATTATTCGCGTAAAAGAAATAATAAAAATTCACAATCACGTAAAATGCGTTTATTCATTTCTCGGGTTCAATACATAATTTGATAAAGTACAAATACTTGGGGGCGGTGTTACAGATGTTCTGGTCCCAAGCCAGTCAGAACAGATTGAAGGAGTTCTTTATTCGAGACAAGGGAATTAATTGCAGCAAGAGCATCCACTAAATTCTTTATTTCTCTTAAATAAATGTCACGCCCCAGACCGCGTCTGTGCCACGTGGACAACCGTCGTACAACCCAATAAGAATAACTGCAGTTCATCCTTACCGAATTGCACAAGACGTCCGATAGATACATATGCCAAAACCGATTAGTAAACATACATAACAACATCAACATACAATCAAACACATAGCGGAATATAAGTGTTTAATAAGAACCCACACAAGGGTAAAACAAGAGCTCGCAGGCTCCATTAATTTATAAGTCAAAATAGTTCCATGAGCATTATTTAATTATTTAAAAATGGAACGAGAGGAAGCACGAACCACGTCTTCTCTCCATCGATCTCCCGAGCAACGGGTGCAGGAAGTAAGCTCTAGCTTCAACCTGAAAGGGTGGTTCCCCCGAGGGATCAGTACTACAGAAAAGTACTGGTGAGGGCAAACTGTATGTAATGTAACTAACGTTTCTCACGTGAGACCCTCAAAATAGGGTGATAGTATAATTATGGGCATAACTCTTAGCTACCCCTTTTCAAAACAAAATGTATACATATATACATATGAGTAAAATATCCGGCCCGTGGGCCCATTTGTCTTTCAAATCATTTAGGCATAATAGCCTCATTAAATTCACCCTTCCCATGTCTTACCCTCGAGTGGAGTCACCCGCAGGCTGACTCACCCGATATTAAAATATATCTTCTTGTGGGGCCCTTCGGACTCCCATATCACAGACATGGTTTAAATCAATCCCTAGACCAAGGAAAATATTATATCGGGAACTCGTTCCCGATCAAGCACGTTTAATCATTTAAAATCATTACTTCGAGGTTCACCTACCTCGAGGACTATCCGTCCTTGCTATCATAGTTTTCATTTCCGGGTTAACCCCGCCTCGAGGAGTACGCATACACCCTCATCCTATGTGTAATTTACTGGAGGTTAACACACCTCAAGGACTACACGGGCCCTTGTTACCTATATGCACTTTGATGGAGGTTAACACACCTCAAGGACTGCATTTGCCCTTGTTACCTATATGCAATTTGATGGAGGTTAAACACACCTCAAGGACTGCACGGGCCCTTGTTACCTATATGCAATTTGATGGAGGTTAATCACACCTCAAGGACTGCATTTGCCCTTGTTACCTATATGCAATTTGATGGAGGTTAAACACACCTCAAGGACTGCATTTGCCCTTGTTACCTATATGCAATTTGATGGAGGTTAAACACACCTCAAGGACTGCATTTGCCCTTGTTACCTATATGCAATTTGATGGAGGTTAAACACACCTCAAGGACTGCACGGGCCCTTGTTAACGTTTGAGTGTAGAGGACTCCTCCTGGTCCTACAGAGTATTATATAACCTTACTTGGTCCCGGGTATTCACCCGCCATGTATAATCTACCACGTACCTCGCCCGGTCGTGGTCTATAATTTCTTTACTAACGACTAGTCCAAGTCTTAGCGTTTAAACCGTATTCCAAGCCTTATCATTTTAAACATCATATTTCATGCAATTCCATGCAAAATATTCATATATAGGATGACCAGAATTAATCCCACGTCGAACCGGGTCCGATTTGGGTTTTTAGCAAAAATCAGTCCTGAAAGCCGAGACATAACCGGCGCCGGTTTTACCCATAACCGGCGCCGGTTTACTGATTTTCTTGAGTAAACCGAACCATAACCGGCGCCGGTTTTGCCTATAACCGGCGCCGGTTACCCCCTGGGCAACCGGTCAACATTTTGGTCAACGCCCGTTTGACCATCCAAACGGGGTCCGATTTCCACGAAATTTTATACGCTTATACAACAAGTCATTCTTAGTCCAAAAATATTATTTTGGACGTCCAAATCATCACACATAATTTATAATCATTTTCTGTCCAAATTAAAGCATATTAAATACACTTATTAATACTATTAATAAGTAAATCTTTCCTTAATACATTCTTAGATGTATTTAACATTTCATGGAATATCATTCTGTTTTATTTGAGTAATCTCATGCCCAAGCCCAAATCATGGCTCATGATCCTTTCTTACAACCTTTTATTCATACCATTAATTGATTAATCATTAATTATGCCATATTTCCATAATCCATAATTAATATGACTAATCACATATCACATATCTTTTTATATTTCTTTACTAGATAACTCTAGTTAATCACATACACGGTTCAAATATACCTTCTTATTCATTTAAGAAAAATATACTCATGATTAATTAATAAATTAATCTATTTTTTTTATTTATCATATAATACTTCCATAATCCATATTTAATATGGATAATCACAACTTTACAACCCTTTTATATTCACTTACTAGATTATTCGAGCTTATCTCATACATGGTTCAAGTACATCCTCTTATGCATTAAGAAATATATACTACGTACTAATGATTAATTAATAAATTAATCTATTTTTTTCATTAGTCATATACACCATGACTAATCATGCATTTTAATCCATTTCATCATTTCTCAAATCATGGTTATGATTTTATTTAGGTAATCCCACGTTTGAACCAAGAGTTACAAGACACGTAGTCGTCCACTCACCTTGAAATGACGCTAGCGAGTTTTTATCCCCTTTGTTTGAACTCCGGCGACCTTTGAATTTTCCGGCGAAAACTCCGGCGGCTCCGGCGACTTTCCGGCCACTCCTAGGTTCCTCGAGAAGTCTAGAATACCTTGGTAAAATTCCTAACAAGTTTTCACAACCAAAAGTGGTATAAATGTCAAAACCTTCCAAGAAGGTGTTTTCCGGTGAACCGGTCTTACTCCGGCCATAACTCCGTTCATGGTTAAACTTAACCTTCCAAACCCTCATTCAACACCTCTAGAAGTTTATCATATGATTTATAAAATCATATGAGATTAAATGAAGGAAGAAAAATACTATTGAAGTCATTACCTTGGTTTTACTAAGTTTTTCTCTTCTTTTCCAAGCTTTTCTTCTTCCTTGAGCCTTCTTCCTCCTTGAGCTCGGTTCATGGCTATGGAGGTATGTTTACAGAGGTTCTTCTCCCTCTCTTGATGGTGCTGGCCGAGTGGGTGATTGAGGGGAGAGAGATTGATGTCCTTTTGGCTCATTCCACCCATAATATTAAGGAAAAGGGTCCACATATGTCTCTCATTGATGCTCATCACTCCAAGCCAACTTCCTATTTCTTTCCTACCATTATACAGCCGTCCCTTTGTCTACTTTGCTGAATAATTTCGTGGGGTGGCCCCCACTAATGTGGGAGGTCATCCCTTTAAGTCCAAAAGTGTACAATCGGTCCCGAAAGTTGTATTTTCTGGACTGTTTCAATTATATTTTATTTTATCGTGTTGAATAAAATATATATCATTCTTCCAATTAATATTGGCCTCTAAAATGAATATATATATCCCACTTTAATTTCGTGGTCGCCGAAATTAATTTTGGGCTGTTATCGGTTTAATTACCTATACTGGTAATGAGACCTCGTTTGATCGAAATGCCAACTTTATGGCTCAACATTTATTTACAACCTCATATAAATATTATCTAAACCAATATGAATATAATATGTGGTCCGTAAACATCGGATGGTCCCCGCCCATGTGTGGGCCCAACGTGCATTTTACTGTTCAAGTAACAGTAAAAATGAGAACACGTTGCTTTAAAAATTCATCCATCAGTCCTAATGACTAAATATGTGTTTTCATATTTTGTGACACTTTAATAAAATGTTACACTTATTTTTAAGTGGTCCCAACTGTATAAGCAGATAAAATCTTATCTGTTTATTCTTATACGAAAATATCTTCAAGGTAGGGTCCTCCAAAAGTACCCACCTCTAATATGTCAATTTAATCATACATTATCATCCCATTATTTTGGGTTTTTAAAACATTTATATTCCTTCTGTTATTAATTCGTAGCCTTCCGAATTATTATCAGTTCGATGATTAATGATTCACAATTATCGAATAGAGACCCCAGCCCGCTTGGCCGTCTAGTTGTCGTTTCTTTATATCACTGGGTCCATGACCCATCCCTACTATCATAATAGTATCATTTTGGTAAACATTAATATTTTATAAATGAACTTAGAATATCACGAGTGGTCCCACGTCTAAATTAATAACCCTTTATTAATTTAAGACAAAATTTTTACTTTCTCATTTATCAAGACTACTCTTAGCCTTGATTTACCTTCTTTAACCCAGTACTTGATGAAAAAAAATTTCTCACAGTAAAATTCGGGTCCGGTGTTACAAGTTCACCCCACCTTACAGGAATTTCGTCCCCGAAATTAACGTCTGAACCTTGAGAAACATTTCTCCCTTCATTTTCTGAAGCTAAAAATTTTGAACATAAAAATATTTATGGAAATTAAAGTTTAATTTAATAATACCTTATGCCATAGTCGGGCCTAACAAATGGCTTCCGCCATTTCCGGCCTTCACGAGCGAGTTCGCCATTGACTTGTAGAAGGTACCACGTTTGAGGCAACCCTAGTTGGGTTTTCAACCCCCGTGACCCCTCCTCTAGCTCCTGATGTTCCTTCACGCGTACGTTGAGGACAAAGGACCTTGATGTGGCCTGTTTCTCCACAAAAGTAACATCTAGATGGCTCTCGACATCTCCCGTAGTGCCTTCGCCTACAATTCTCACATTTGGGTGCCCCCGTGCCCCGAGTGCTTGAGCTTTGACTTACCAAGTTCTGACTCTCACTGAAAAACGGAACTAACTTGTTAGAGTCCTCCTTGCTATGAAGTTCATACTTCCCCTCTCGTCGTGGAGGGTGAATGATCACCTGATCTCTTTCTTGTGCTTCCTTTGCATCCCTTGCTTGCCTTTCCTTCCAAAGCTCCTCCCCCTGGAGACCCTGGGCTACTACTTGACTAAAAGTCATGTTGAATTGGTAGGTCGCTCTTTCGCGTATTTCCAAATTGAGTGCATTCCAAAAATGGTTTGCCATTCGGTTCTCATTTGCGGCATACTCAGGCAAGAACCTTGCCAGATGTCGGAATCTTTGTTCCAGTTGCTTCACCGTAAACTCATTTCCCTGTTTGAGATCGATATATTCCCTCCTCTTTCGATTTACTTCGAATGAGGTGTAAAACTGCTCATAGAATGCTTGCTCGAAGTTGTCCCACGTGACAACCCCGTCAAACTTACCCTTGGTGCCTTCCCACCAAGTAGAAGCTAAACCCTCCAATAATCTAGTGGCCACCCTTAACTTTCGTTCAGGGACCACCTGCATGTCCTCAGCTGCATCATTTAACCTTTTTATCCACTCGGCTGCTTCTGATATGTCCTCCGTCCCATCAAATGGTTTGCACCCCAAGGCTCTAGCCTCTTTGAGATACTTTGAGATCCTAACGAATGGTCCTTCGCCATCAGAATCTCTGACTGTCTTAACCTGTGCTGTAAGAGCACCCCGAACCCTCCTGAGAGAGGTCTCGCCTCTGACATGTCCCTCCTGAGATCCCTGTCGTTGTCTTCCCATTTCACGTTGGTACCATCGGTACATCTCACTAACATGGTCCGGAGGAATACTACGTATATCCTCTCCACTGTTTTCCTCAAAAGAAGTTTCATCTGACTCGCTTTGAGGGTGATAAGTTGAGTCATCCTCCGAGTTCCACGACTCGAATTCAGTCACATTGTGATCAGCCATCGCAGCTCGTGTTCGTGGGCCTTGATTGCCCATACCTCGCCTTTTACGTGACCTTGATATCCCCCGATTGGCTTGCCCGGTTATCCCCGATGCGCGCCCTCTCGGATTTCCTCGAACCGCCCTATCACTACCACCCATTCCTGAAAGAATATGTTGGAATGAGTCTTTGGACTCGTTTGAATGTCAACTGACAGAAACGTACTCAAGACACAACTTGGCTCAAGTCACTGCCATACCAATTGTTAAGGGGCCCATCTTAACAACCAGAGACCTTGCAACTCGATAACCAAATGCTCTTAAAGTACAAAACTTATGCTCATGGTTTTTCATTGAAAACTGTTTTGATAGAAACTCTGTTGAGAGGTTGACTATATAGTTTAGAAATCGTCTGGCTCTGATACCACTTAATTGTCACGCCCCAGACCGCGTCTGTGCCACGTGGACAACCGTCGTACAACCCAATAAGAATAACTGCAGTTCATCCTTACCGAATTGCACAAGACGTCCGATAGATACATATGCCAAAACCGATTAGTAAACATACATAACAACATCAACATACAATCAAACACATAGCGGAATATAAGTGTTTAATAAGAACCCACACAAGGGTAAAACAAGAGCTCGCAGGCTCCATTAATTTATAAGTCAAAATAGTTCCATGAGCATTATTTAATTATTTAAAAATGGAACGAGAGGAAGCACGAACCACGTCTTCTCTCCATCGATCTCCCGAGCAACGGGTGCAGGAAGTAAGCTCTAGCTTCAACCTGAAAGGGTGGTTCCCCCGAGGGATCAGTACTACAGAAAAGTACTGGTGAGGGCAAACTGTATGTAATGTAACTAACGTTTCTCACGTGAGACCCTCAAAATAGGGTGATAGTATAATTATGGGCATAACTCTTAGCTACCCCTTTTCAAAACAAAATGTATACATATATACATATGAGTAAAATATCCGGCCCGTGGGCCCATTTGTCTTTCAAATCATTTAGGCATAATAGCCTCATTAAATTCACCCTTCCCATGTCTTACCCTCGAGTGGAGTCACCCGCAGGCTGACTCACCCGATATTAAAATATATCTTCTTGTGGGGCCCTTCGGACTCCCATATCACAGACATGGTTTAAATCAATCCCTAGACCAAGGAAAATATTATATCGGGAACTCGTTCCCGATCAAGCACGTTTAATCATTTAAAATCATTACTTCGAGGTTCACCTACCTCGAGGACTATCCGTCCTTGCTATCATAGTTTTCATTTCCGGGTTAACCCCGCCTCGAGGAGTACGCATACACCCTCATCCTATGTGTAATTTACTGGAGGTTAACACACCTCAAGGACTACACGGGCCCTTGTTACCTATATGCACTTTGATGGAGGTTAACACACCTCAAGGACTGCATTTGCCCTTGTTACCTATATGCAATTTGATGGAGGTTAAACACACCTCAAGGACTGCACGGGCCCTTGTTACCTATATGCAATTTGATGGAGGTTAATCACACCTCAAGGACTGCATTTGCCCTTGTTACCTATATGCAATTTGATGGAGGTTAAACACACCTCAAGGACTGCATTTGCCCTTGTTACCTATATGCAATTTGATGGAGGTTAAACACACCTCAAGGACTGCATTTGCCCTTGTTACCTATATGCAATTTGATGGAGGTTAAACACACCTCAAGGACTGCACGGGCCCTTGTTAACGTTTGAGTGTAGAGGACTCCTCCTGGTCCTACAGAGTATTATATAACCTTACTTGGTCCCGGGTATTCACCCGCCATGTATAATCTACCACGTACCTCGCCCGGTCGTGGTCTATAATTTCTTTACTAACGACTAGTCCAAGTCTTAGCGTTTAAACCGTATTCCAAGCCTTATCATTTTAAACATCATATTTCATGCAATTCCATGCAAAATATTCATATATAGGATGACCAGAATTAATCCCACGTCGAACCGGGTCCGATTTGGGTTTTTAGCAAAAATCAGTCCTGAAAGCCGAGACATAACCGGCGCCGGTTTTACCCATAACCGGCGCCGGTTTACTGATTTTCTTGAGTAAACCGAACCATAACCGGCGCCGGTTTTGCCTATAACCGGCGCCGGTTACCCCCTGGGCAACCGGTCAACATTTTGGTCAACGCCCGTTTGACCATCCAAACGGGGTCCGATTTCCACGAAATTTTATACGCTTATACAACAAGTCATTCTTAGTCCAAAAATATTATTTTGGACGTCCAAATCATCACACATAATTTATAATCATTTTCTGTCCAAATTAAAGCATATTAAATACACTTATTAATACTATTAATAAGTAAATCTTTCCTTAATACATTCTTAGATGTATTTAACATTTCATGGAATATCATTCTGTTTTATTTGAGTAATCTCATGCCCAAGCCCAAATCATGGCTCATGATCCTTTCTTACAACCTTTTATTCATACCATTAATTGATTAATCATTAATTATGCCATATTTCCATAATCCATAATTAATATGACTAATCACATATCACATATCTTTTTATATTTCTTTACTAGATAACTCTAGTTAATCACATACACGGTTCAAATATACCTTCTTATTCATTTAAGAAAAATATACTCATGATTAATTAATAAATTAATCTATTTTTTTTATTTATCATATAATACTTCCATAATCCATATTTAATATGGATAATCACAACTTTACAACCCTTTTATATTCACTTACTAGATTATTCGAGCTTATCTCATACATGGTTCAAGTACATCCTCTTATGCATTAAGAAATATATACTACGTACTAATGATTAATTAATAAATTAATCTATTTTTTTCATTAGTCATATACACCATGACTAATCATGCATTTTAATCCATTTCATCATTTCTCAAATCATGGTTATGATTTTATTTAGGTAATCCCACGTTTGAACCAAGAGTTACAAGACACGTAGTCGTCCACTCACCTTGAAATGACGCTAGCGAGTTTTTATCCCCTTTGTTTGAACTCCGGCGACCTTTGAATTTTCCGGCGAAAACTCCGGCGGCTCCGGCGACTTTCCGGCCACTCCTAGGTTCCTCGAGAAGTCTAGAATACCTTGGTAAAATTCCTAACAAGTTTTCACAACCAAAAGTGGTATAAATGTCAAAACCTTCCAAGAAGGTGTTTTCCGGTGAACCGGTCTTACTCCGGCCATAACTCCGTTCATGGTTAAACTTAACCTTCCAAACCCTCATTCAACACCTCTAGAAGTTTATCATATGATTTATAAAATCATATGAGATTAAATGAAGGAAGAAAAATACTATTGAAGTCATTACCTTGGTTTTACTAAGTTTTTCTCTTCTTTTCCAAGCTTTTCTTCTTCCTTGAGCCTTCTTCCTCCTTGAGCTCGGTTCATGGCTATGGAGGTATGTTTACAGAGGTTCTTCTCCCTCTCTTGATGGTGCTGGCCGAGTGGGTGATTGAGGGGAGAGAGATTGATGTCCTTTTGGCTCATTCCACCCATAATATTAAGGAAAAGGGTCCACATATGTCTCTCATTGATGCTCATCACTCCAAGCCAACTTCCTATTTCTTTCCTACCATTATACAGCCGTCCCTTTGTCTACTTTGCTGAATAATTTCGTGGGGTGGCCCCCACTAATGTGGGAGGTCATCCCTTTAAGTCCAAAAGTGTACAATCGGTCCCGAAAGTTGTATTTTCTGGACTGTTTCAATTATATTTTATTTTATCGTGTTGAATAAAATATATATCATTCTTCCAATTAATATTGGCCTCTAAAATGAATATATATATCCCACTTTAATTTCGTGGTCGCCGAAATTAATTTTGGGCTGTTATCGGTTTAATTACCTATACTGGTAATGAGACCTCGTTTGATCGAAATGCCAACTTTATGGCTCAACATTTATTTACAACCTCATATAAATATTATCTAAACCAATATGAATATAATATGTGGTCCGTAAACATCGGATGGTCCCCGCCCATGTGTGGGCCCAACGTGCATTTTACTGTTCAAGTAACAGTAAAAATGAGAACACGTTGCTTTAAAAATTCATCCATCAGTCCTAATGACTAAATATGTGTTTTCATATTTTGTGACACTTTAATAAAATGTTACACTTATTTTTAAGTGGTCCCAACTGTATAAGCAGATAAAATCTTATCTGTTTATTCTTATACGAAAATATCTTCAAGGTAGGGTCCTCCAAAAGTACCCACCTCTAATATGTCAATTTAATCATACATTATCATCCCATTATTTTGGGTTTTTAAAACATTTATATTCCTTCTGTTATTAATTCGTAGCCTTCCGAATTATTATCAGTTCGATGATTAATGATTCACAATTATCGAATAGAGACCCCAGCCCGCTTGGCCGTCTAGTTGTCGTTTCTTTATATCACTGGGTCCATGACCCATCCCTACTATCATAATAGTATCATTTTGGTAAACATTAATATTTTATAAATGAACTTAGAATATCACGAGTGGTCCCACGTCTAAATTAATAACCCTTTATTAATTTAAGACAAAATTTTTACTTTCTCATTTATCAAGACTACTCTTAGCCTTGATTTACCTTCTTTAACCCAGTACTTGATGAAAAAAAATTTCTCACAGTAAAATTCGGGTCCGGTGTTACAATAAATGTCCATAGATTGAGTTTCTTTCTTCCTGATGGTTGACAATAACCGTTTAAATTCCATGCACCGAGGTAAACATGCAGACATAAATCTAGTCTGAAGTCTAGCCCAGATAGCAACAGAGTGTTTTAAGTCATGAACATCAACTAAAACATCCCGAGTTAAACTAGCAAACAACCAACAACGAATTGTTTGATCTACACGTAGCCAATAATAATACTCGGAATTAATTGGGAACTTGACGATTAGCAAAATCAACCATATACATCGGGGGTACATGAATGGAGCCATAAACAACGCCAAACAAACCTTGAGAAATCAAGAATGATTCGAACTGAGTGCGCCAAGTGAGATAATCTTCTACGACCTTCAACTTGATGGTAACGATCTGAGAGACCGTGGTAATATGCGACACGGACTGAGCAAGAGCCGACATAGGGGAGCCGAAACCCGACTGCTCAGTCGGCCGAATAATACCTGGCGTGCCCGAAAAAGTGGAGCCGAAAGAGGGTGATGCAGGCGGCGGTGGAGAAGAGGTAGGCACCGGAGATCGCACCATAGCCGGCTGTGCTTGAAAACGTGACGGCAGGGACTGAAATAATGTACTCCCTCCGTCCCGAAATTATCTTCATTCTTTCCTTTTCGGTCCGTCCCAAATTTATCTCCTCTTTCCCTTTTTGGCAAAGAATTTGTGGTTCACAACCATTCTTACACATTTCTCTCTCCTCTGCACAACTCTCCACCTTACATTTCCCACTTTCTTAATATACGTGCCCGGTCAAAACCGAAAATAAATATGGGACGGAGGGAGTATAAGGCTCGACCGTAGAGAAAATTGACGGCGGCGGAAAATTGGAAAAGAGGCTCAACGACGAGGACTGTAATACCAGAGAATTGATTACGCCGCTTGAGAAACTTGTAGAAATATTAGAAGAAGAAGGTTGTTGCGTTGTCATGCCCGTGGCGGGGATCAAAACTTTCGGCGTTGTGGTGAATGCGGCTGCGGCGGAAGTGCTGATGGTGGTTGAAAGTTGAAACCACTGCTACAGCTGACTCCATGGAGGAAGTCATGATGCGGCGATTTTTTTAGAGAGAGAATATTAGGTTAGACGTACTCGTGACACCATGTGAGAATAATGGGAAAACGGTGCTAAAAAAGGAGCCCTGATTAATAAAATAACTTTCACATTCTTTTGCTACTCATATAAATTATAAAACCCATACAAACTAATTCGATCTTTAAATTTATTTATCTTTATCTCATGTCTACTTTTCTGGACCGGTGATTAAAGAAGTTCAAGAATGAGCTAAACGCGCGTGACGCAGAATTTCCCAAGGCATTGGCTCAGTTGTTTTGACTTTTCAATTAAACTGGATTAAGGCATAATATATGTTTTCGTACTTAATTACATGTAGCAGATTCTGATGTTTTGTTTGAGGATCTGAGTGAAATCTCGATTCTTGGCAATGTTTATCAGCTAAATTGTTGTGATTTTAGCATTATGTATATGCGTCCACATCCTCTCACTATACTTGTCCAAACAACCTGCGGATCGGATTATGTCTTCCTACTCTTCCCAATAGATTAGAGTTTCCCAGCCACACATATATGATATATCTTGTTCTTTGGTTACGTTGTTAATGTAAGTATGTAACCATGAATCCATGATGGTTGTGTATAGTGAATTAGTGAACATGATAGTGATGGATTGCTTGTCCGGTTATGAATGAAAGGCAATATGATTTTTCAACTCATTTTAATGGTAGTTAGAGAACAAAATATGGAAGGTCCTACATGTGCATTCGGGGTTTGCTTTTATTCATATACTCCCTCCGTTCTTTATTATCTGTCCCGCTAGTCTTGGACACGGATTTTAATAGAAAAATAGTAGGATAAATGTAGAGTGTGTAGGGTAAATGATAAAGTAGGAAAGAGAGTATATTAAAAAGAGTAAAGTGGTGATAAAGTGACGATAAAGTAGGAAAGAGAGTATATTAAGTAGAGTAAAGTTATGATAAAGTAGGAAAGAGAAAGTAGTTTGTAAAAAGTAAGAAGGGTAAAAGTAAAAAAAGTGGGGGTATTTTATCAAAAACTTTCATAAAATAGAAAGAGAGACAAATAATAAAAAAACGTCCCAAAATGATATTATACTATTCAAGTATTATATTGAATATTATACTATTCCTTCCTTCTTAAAAAACTTGTTAATATTGACTTTTTTAATCAATGATATTTTTAATGTGAGATTATTTAAAATATGAAAATTACAATAAACTTTTCTCTGTTTAAAGTAATATACAAAAAATATAAGAGTTATAAATTTTGCATAAATATTTTATCTAAAATCATTATTCAAAATATATTATCAATAAAATCCAAACGAGTTATATATATTGTTGGGACCCCTCATTAATTGGAGATGTTCTAGAAAATTCTATAACTTTCTAGAGAAGTATAGAATTTTCTAGAACGTTTCGGAGAATCCTAGAGAAGTCTAAAACTTTTTAGAAACTTGTGAAATAGTGTGGAATCATCTGAAATATTCTGAAGATGTGTGAAACCTTCCAGAAGCTTATGGAAAAGTATGGAAGGGTATGCAAGGGAGTGGAAAAGTATGTATAGAGACTCCTAGATTGTGTGGAGCATTCTAGACAATCAATCTCCACCTTCAATACAAACCATCTCCCCATTCATTGTGAAGTGTGAAGGTGGAGTAGTATAAATAGGGGTAAGAGACTTCATTCCTAACTATCCTAGCCAAGAGTGAAACCACTTTCTAGAGCGAGAAAAACATAGTGAGAGAGCCTCTCAAGAGAAAAGAGAGATAACATGAGTCAATTTTGTTAACACATTTTTCTATCCTACCATTCTTTTTGTATAGTGGAAGAATCTTCATATTGGAGAACTATACCCGTGTGCTCTCATTTCTACCTTAATTCTTAAGTGCCGTTCTTAATTTCACGAAGCGGGAAAGTCTGAGTTTTTCCCAACGGTGGAAAGAAGCTCTAGATAAATATCAAATTAGTTTCGACAATGAAAATGATTTGTTTCCCAAGGCCTTTTATTTAATTTTGAACAGGGCCTCCAATATTTCAGGGCCGGCCTTGATGGATTCCACTATGTTATGTCAAATTTCACGAGAGAGGGTGTACTTTAAGAAGGCAATAACGTTGTAGTGATGTCGAAAATAAATAAATTTTGCATGCGCGGTTATTATTTAAAGGAATATTTATAATAGAATAATACGTAGTACATAGTACTCATATGCGATATGTAAGAGTGCCTATTCACCTCATTAAAAAATAACAAAACTTTTTATGTACTTGTTATTTTTTCTGAAACATGAGCCACTTTTATGTTGGTCAAATGCACTTTTCATCGTAGACATGCATATTTATCAATTTATTTTTAAAGAGTTCCTAATCTATACACTTTTGTCATCACTTTTTTCACTTTAAAATTGATTTGATCCATTCATTCTTTTATTTTAATGACTAAGATTATTTCTCATTTTTCAAGTATGAGATTATACGTGTGTGCATACGTACATCATTTTCCAAGTTTACAAACAAATCTATTTTAATAATTGAATAGAGAGATTTACTACAAATCTACGAGTATTTTGGAATTAGTACAAAAACCAGGAAAAATTCTCAAGATATGAGTGAAAACATTTTGGAATTCTAAAGTAGAAGTACTATGTTTACCAAACATTCTGTGAAATATACTGTCATACTTGGCATTACTAAACTTTAAATATCACCGTATAAATAGCATTATTTTCAAACATGGTAATAATTACTCATATTTAGAGAATAAATATAGTGATTGATTCCATTCTGGGATTCTAAAACGCTTTTACTCCTATAGCAAAACATAATTAAGAATCTGAAAATCTGAAATCTAACATAATTAAGAATCTATTGACCAAAACCTAGACGCTGCAATGATTTACAAATAGAAGAATAAAATTACCCTATACAACAGACTTTAGCAGTCAAAATTCTTATATATTCTAAAGAAAGGAAGTCAGACATCTTCAATCTAATGTGTATGAGGGATGAAGGTACAAGTGAATATTAGATTATCATTTAAGAGCTAGAGAAATCAGGCTCTTCTGGTTTACATAGTTGTGACATTTTGAGACTGGATGATGAAGGTGCAGGAGTAGTTATCTTAACTTTTTGCATGACCCCCCTTCTTGTATTTGCTGCAAATTTGGAGGCCAAAATTGTGGGTCCAATGTGCTGCGGTGCATGAGTGTCCACACCATCATAACCTCCAGATGATGATGATGATGATGATGATGATGATTCATTGTCTACACCAGCTAATTCCGTGGGCGGCATATATTGATAATAGCCTGTCTCATGCAAAGACAGCTCTTTGGCCAACTTTTTCTTTTTGTACCTTCTCCATGCAGATTGGATATAGCAGGCGCCCCAGGTCCTCCACTGCTGAGAATAGTGCCGAAAGGCATGCTGCAGCCTCTTACTGTGGAGATGTTTGAACTGAACGGCGAAGAACTTAAGGTCCTCAGCGCGAAGCGCAAATGCCTCAACCTCACACCGTGTTCGCACGGTGCGAGTTGAGGAAGGCAGGTTTAGTGAAGAGTTGGGGAGTAGAGCCCATGTGAGTAACTCCTCCCCACAAAAGTCTCCGGGCCTGAGGTCATAAGTATTGTAGAATCCTGATCTTCCTCCGTTGGTTGTGGAACTTTGGAGTGTGCCCCTAATGATGAAAAGCATCTCGCTCACCGGATCACCCTCCCGCACAATGTACGTGTCTTTTGTGCTCAGAGATGACACTAGCCGTTCACAGATGGCATCAAGCAGTTGATCATCCATCTGTGCAAAGAATGGAACCTGCCATGCATGTAGTATGCACGCACGTAGATCAAAGACAAAATTACTGCTCTGTAGTATACTCCCTCCGTAACTTAAAAATCTTCCCACTTTCCTTTTTCGTCCGTAACAAAAAAATCTTCTCATTTCTAAATCTTCCCATCATACCCTCAATAATTTTTAAAATAATACACTATTACAACTACTTTTTTTGGATTTATCCTACATTCCACCACATTATTCCACAATTTTCCCATCATACCCTCAATAATTCATATCATCTTTCACTATTCTTAATCTACCTACTTTTGAAATGGGAAGATTTCAAAGTTACGGAGGGAGTAGGAGATATGACTCAAAGACAGAGATGGTGATTCCTGAAATATGACTAAATGCTTTATTTCTAAATTGAAATGCTTCGTATATACATACGTACTCTGCGAACGAGGTTAAGACAAAGATGTCTCTGAATCTCACGACGAAGATCCAGCGGTAAGGATTTCAAGATAGATTCTTCCTTCACTCCTCTGGTGGCCAGCCATTTGTATTGCTCAAATTGACGAACACGTCTTTGCAGATCTGGTGGTAACTGCCGATGCCTCATCCATTCTTCTGTATCTCTTCTTCTAATCCTCCACTCCTCAAGTCTCACCGTCAGAGATTGTAGGTAAGTCTGATCTTCAAACGAAATATATAATTATGTTTTATAATTAATTATCACTAAGTGCTCCTTTGGGTAAATATAAATAAACAATGTGCTACATGCATATTTCTAGATTAAACTACGTGCTCTAAAGTTTGAGGTTCAAACATCATGAGCATACTTTAGAATTGAATATCATCGTCAAACAGAGAAACAAAAATATATAGAAATCTTGGACATCGATCGTATGCATGGTGAAGATAGAGATTGTCCTCCTTTGGGTAAATATAAATAAATCAAGAAACTAACATAAGGAGTACAACACAATTATACTGTATAGTCTCACGTCAAATTGACTCCTTAAATAAAATATCCAAGTGTAGATGATTTGAAATGGATTTTCTATTATATGTACATTTGTTACTTTTAAATCTATCACCAGCATGCATCACAAAATGCAAGAACAGAAAATGGTGCAAGTAAACAGTCGTGCGCTTCTTGAAACTTGTGTTGTTTTTTATGTTTAGCCAAATCGATACATTGGTTTGAGAATATATAGATTCATCGTTTAGGTAGTATATACTATCTATAATAGCTATAATGGCATACTAGCTAATTAATGCCTTTGTTTCATTTTATAAAGTCAATGTCACCATAGTTTGGTATGAGATCATGACTTGAGAATGATAATATTAAGGTAGGATTAAGAACCTAATTAAAGTAACAAATGCTTACCTGCATGTTCCCAATCAAATGAGAAAATAGAATTAAACCAATGATACACACGGAAATACAAAAGACTGTTTCCCCAATGTAAGTGCTAGTCATCAAATTCTGTCCATATGAACTGCATAGAACATTAACTACTTGAGCATAATTGAAATGTCAAAGATAAGGCTTAAACTTTGTTAGTGCAGTTGTTCATAAAAATAATTTATGATCCAATTGTAAGCCCCCCCCCTCCCCCATAAAAATAGGAATTCCCCCACTTAATTTCTTTGTAACCATTAAAGATATATATATCTGGAGAAGTGGAGACCATTCCAAAGTAAGAAGGAAACTCCACAAACTCGCGTGAGTGCGTGATGCAATATGATTCATGATAGGCAAATTAAAAGGGCCATCGAGTAGAAGATGGAGCATGTATGTTCTGTATAAATACGTACCTCAAATTTCTTAAGCCCCACCAGAGACAGTAGAGATACTTCTCAATAAATCGAGAGGATGCAACTTCACTGGTGAAGGCATCAGCAAACATTCCGAATTTAAAATCAGAGTCCTCATTATTAGGATCGCAACGCGAGAGCAATGATGTGGTGTTGAGCCAGTACTCCCGCTCCAGCGTATGGGAAGTCACGCTCTCACAGTCCAGAAAACTCGGCACGCAAGGTGGCACCGCATTCTGCTCAATCTTACATTGCATTGTCCAGCAAGAGTGCTGGCGCCCAATGGACGAGAGGTACCATGAAGCCCCCAGTACCTGCACGCGCCTCCGCCCACAACCAGCACACCCGGCCACTTGTGTTAGTTTGGGAATAAATCAGGTCTATTCAATGAAAACTTGATGAAGAAAAGAAGTCCTCTACAAATGCAATGAAAGAGTTACTAATAAGGAGTACTAATTATACTCCCTGTATGATTGATTACATACATGGCTGGCTAACATGAAGAGGATAAGGTTATATGCAGCTCCTGCCCAAGCTGTTTTAGCAATAAAGCCGGTGGTTTTGATAATCCTCTGATTTAAGGGAATGCTAACGAGCAACCTGGGAAGGTATTGAATGAGGACGATGAGAGCAATGGTGTTGTTGTCGTGGCCGGAGCCGTTGCCTTTCGTGGCCGGAATCACATACCAAATCACAATCTGCCGGAAAAGAAAGCTTTAATAATGAAATAAATGCGTATTGGATGAATGAATGAATGAATTATTACCTGAGGTAAAGGGAGGGTGGCTGCGAAATCAATGATGAAATCGGATTTGAGATAGCGCATAGCGATTTCGGTGGAGTCCATGACGAGCTCGCCCCGGCCGAAAACCCGGGAGCTGGGGGCCACGAAGGCGGTGCGGAATTTGAGGAGCATGTGGAGAACGTAGAAGAAGTCTGTGAGGGTGCGGAAGTAGGTGATGGCGACGGAGGCGCTCTTGTCGGTGGACATGCAGGCCTTGCCGCCGACGTACGGCAGGTAGAAGTAAAGGGGATCTATGGACAGGGAGATGAGGCAGGTGACCAGGAAGATGTGGTTCCACAGGTTCACGAACCCGCTGCTCGGATCCAATATCTTGTGTCGCCACCCCACCCCCTCCTCCTCTTCCCCCTCGCCCGACCTCGCTGCGCCGTCGGAATATAAACATCGCCGGTACCGGCGGAGCCGTGACGCCGGCCTACACAACAATCTATCCATCTTCCATGCCGCGCGCTCCCACTCCCATTTCAAATTATTAATTGGATAATCTCTGGATAATCTCTGGTACAGTGCGGTGCATGCTAGCTGCAAATTAACTCGAAAGTGTGCGCCGCCTGGCTTCCAGGTAATCAATCTCTCATTCAATCGATCTAATGCCTATGACAACACCTTGGGACTTGTCGCTCGATCGGAAACAATGCCGGCCGGGAAATCAAGAAAGAGTGCTCCGTATATTAAGATTTTTTGCAGCAGCCAGCTGGGGAAATGATGAAATGAAATAAAGTTGATGAGAAGAACCTGCCGTACGTGAGGGGGAGGAGGGTTCGTTATTCTCTTGTTGGCAATAACTGTAATTCGTAAGCGATGGAGGGAAATCCCTCCCGGTCATATTGTTCCTGAGCTGATTTTATATCCCCTGTTTTCCCGTCATTTAATTGACTTTTGTTGTGAAATACACTTGGTGATTAAAGTGTGTATAATAAGTAGTACTCCCTCCGTCCCCTTTTAAATGGGACGGGAGATGGTGGCACGAGTTTTAAGAAAAGTGAGTTTGTGTGTTTGATATCAGTTGATAAAGTAAGAATAAAGTAAGAATGATTTTGAGCTACACAAAGTTTACCAAATAAGGTATGGGGTAATTAAATAGGGACATCCCAATATGGTAAAACGGGATATTTAAAAGGGGACGGAGGGAGTATATGATTTAAGAGATATGAGGATATTTTTGTCAATTTAAGTGAAAACACTTCTGTTACTAACATTTTATTTTTTAACTCTCTCAAACAAGGTAAGAATATGTGTAACACTTACACTTACATTCCCTTCCGGGCCCCTATCAACACTTACTGGCACTTCCATTACTAACACTTCTCAACACTGCACCCAAACAAGACGTAAAGATACATACAAAATTAAAGTCTCATTGCAAGTGTAAAATGACGATGCATAGGAAGCTTGTATTATGCAATATCGTCAAATCTAACAACTCAGATTCATTCTCAATTTTATTTTGAAAAAAGAGTGACACTCCATCTCGGATAGTTATCTGAGAGGAGGTAAGTTGAGCTTTGATCACACACTGAATGAAAGAGAGCAAAGTTCCATACTAAGTCTTTGCTTGGAATTGAACACATGACATCTCCCTTGTGTCACCCTCTTCATACCATGTGAGCTACATCCCCGATTTATTCCCATTTCTCAAATGCTACGACAAGGCTCTTCGTCAACTTTGAAATAATTTTGGTGGCTCGAATGAGTTCAATCCAAAACTATAACTTAGAAGTTGTTCTCTTCACCTGATCTGAATGTTTCTGATCTGAATTTTTTAAGTTCTGATCTGATCTGATCTGATCTGAATCTTTTTGATCTGATCTGAATGTTCCTGATCTGATCTGAATGTTCCTGATCTGATCTGAATGTTCCTGATCTGATCTGAATCATTCTGATCTGATCTGAATGATTCTGATCTGATCTGATTTGAATATTTCTAAAATTATAATTACAATTATAATTACTATAATTATAAATGTAATTACACATATATAATTTAAATATAATTATAATTATAATCATATTTATAAAAATTATAATTATAATTACAAACATAATTATAATAGGTATAATTATTATTATACGTATTACACTAGTTATAAATATAGTTATAATTATAATTGTAATTATATTTAAAGTTATATTTATTTCTATAATTATAATTTTAATTATAATTATAATATTTATTGCTATAATTTTAATTGTAATTACTCCGTATCTCTACAATCTTATAAGAGTGAATATTGTTAAGGGTATAACGGTCATAGAAAATGTGTTGGTTGCTCTTGCTGCATACTGTCATTGTACATTGTGTATGGGTGTTTGTACTTTTTACTTATATTATAGCTTGTGTTTTAACGGAAAGTACCTTTCCATTAGATGTTCCCCCTTCCGTTAGCCTTCACTTTCGCTTATTTCCGTCCCGGTCGTATCCTTTCACCTCCTCTTCTCTTGTCAAGCACCTCAACATTTTTGATATTCCACAGTAATGGCGAGCAGACACCTATTTGAATTCTCAATGGCTGTGGCATGCAATTTGTAAATACTTCATAGTATTCGCGTAAGATGTTCATCGATTTCACACTTGTAAATCGAAAAAGAAGTGACTACAATTTATCGCTTTATCTACAGTTTAAAATATGGCGGATTGCATTTCTTCCGCTCAGAGGGAAAGTCGGACTACTCACTGGCATTTAACACCTTGTCTCCATTCTTCTTCTCCCTGCACTTAGGTTATTCAATTTTTTAGTTTAATCATATCGATGATTCCATTTGATGCTCTTATTGATTGTGAAATTGAAGATATATCGATGATTCCATTTGAAGCTCTTGTTAATTGTGAAATTGAAGATAGATAGTAAGCCTTTGTTTTTTCGAATTCCAGTGAAGCCCAAGTTATGACATCTGCTAATGCTCTGGGAAAAACTCATGCGCTACCTCACTGCATTTGAACAGGAAGGATCCTCTTTCTCTGCTTTGTTTTCCCTTAACTGTGATGCCTTTGAATTTCTTTTTAGTGTTTTTGTGCACTGTTAATTACTCTCTACTTGGAAGATATTAGTTGAGAATGCAACTGGTATGATTTAGTGTGGTCCAAATTACAACCTTTTCTGCCTAACCTCAAATTCCAAGTTTCTACCATTAAATTGAATTTATTTCATTGAACTTTACGAGCAAGTGTTACTACTCGAGCCTTAATCTTCTAACTTTGTGAGTGTATTCAGCAATAGTTTTTGAAAGTATTTACTCTTAGTACTGGTTTGGGGAAAAATAAAAACGTATGCAGACCTCAATCGATTAAGGCCCTGTCTTGCTTTTATATGTTTCCCTTTTGTCGTTCCTCAATTTCAGGAATGAAGCTCATACCATCTTTTGCCTTAATCTATTTTCCCTTTTTATAGCTTAAAGCCTCAAATATGATATGGGGGTATAAAAAAACTATATAGAAAATAAATATGATAGGTTTGGTAAATAGAAACAAATAAAAGATACTGTAGGAGTTTGAATCAAGACTCTCCAAAAGTCCTCAAGAACTGCTGGTAGGAGCAGGTAAAATTTATTGTCTAAAAGTAATCTAAAGCTAAATATAGACATGAATAGAAACACGATGCGCATGAAGGGCCACCCAATGACAAAATATTCAAATTCTTATTAATTTTAAATAGAAAATACGGAAACACCCGTCAAAATGTCAGTCATGCGGACAAACATGTCAAGATGATAGCTCCATGCAGCATTTTTAGCACAATTTGTTAAATTAGTGATCCAAATTTGAAAAACACAGTAAAAATATAAGAAACTGATTGTATGAATGTAATAAAAGTTGAAACAAGTTCCTAAAAGTATTACTGCCAGCTGAAGGAAAAGGTGGAGCAAGAGTGTAACTCTGTTTCTTAAAGCATTTCAAATTCCTCTTTCTAGCTTCACAGAATAAATCGCTAATCATTCTAAACTGCATTTCAGGAATTTTTTTAA